TGTGTGTGTGTATGTGTGTGTTTGTGTGTGTGTGTTTGTATATATATATTATGTCATGACTTTCTTCCAACATTGATTAGTAATTAATTCAATTTTGCCCAATTTCTCTGTTACAATTGTGTAAATATAATGTTTTACAATTACTTAAAGGTATGAGCGAACATTCCCGTTGCTCACCCACATTTTTCATTCATCTTTCTCTTTCTCTCTGTTTCTGCGTGCCTGCTTGCTCGCCTGTCTGTCTGTTGCTCCCCCTCCCCTTTCTCTTCCCCCACCATCTCCTTCACTCTCTGCTTCCTTTCTCTCGCTCCATCCACTCCCCCGCCCACAGTCTTACACCTCTCGTCTTTCCCCTGTCCCATCATTTCTCGGGCGGCTTCCCGTCTTCCAAACAGAGGGGTTGAAAGGGTCATCAAAGAGATACATGTGCAATTTCTTTTTAAAACGAATTGAATCTATGAAGACGAAGGTACAGGAAAAAAGAATGAAAGAAAAAATCCCACACACATACACACACGCACACAAAAGCACAGGATGAATCTTGGACAGCGTGTGGCGCATGGCATATAATAAAGGAATTTTGTTACAAAAAATTAAAAAAGGAAATGATCTCGATGGAAAAGGAACAAATAAATATAAAACGGAATGAAGCTCTTGCTATCGTGTATTCCTCTTTGCAGCAAAGCCAGTGTGAACTCATTAGCCAGACTGGGGAGGATAACGAGCTTTGAACAAATCCTTGTGTCCAGCCGCTGTTTGTACAGCATGTCCAATGCTGAACATTGCCTCAGATACATCGGGCCGGGGGTTCTGTCCCCCTACCAGATCAGAGGGTTCGTCTGTTGGCTGAATCTGTTTTCAGATGCATCAGTGAACTGCCCCTCCCCCCCTCACACACACCTCAGCCTTTCCCCTTCTATCCCTTTCCAAAGAAGATGTTGTTCTTCTCTTCTCTCAATCAAAGGCAGGAAATTCCAAGGACAGTGACGTGGGCTTGCGGATGAAAGTGGATCAGTTTACTGGAGATATATTTTATCTTTGCACGCCCAAGTTTTTGGAATTAAAGCAACACGACCAGGATTATCAATCAGGGAAAGGCTTTTACATTCATTTCAATGTTAAATATTATTTCGTAGGCCAATAACACCGTTTCATTCAGATAACTTTGAACTTAGTACTCTTACGTTTTCCACCCTGAAGCTATACGCATGGTCAATACGTGATTATATCTTTATGCCTCTGGTGCTCGACATGAGGCCCTAGTAATCAGAGGACAGGTTATTTCGAAGAGGGAAAAGCGGCGTACGGCAACACTGATTTACCAAAAAAAACCCCAACAACCCAACCCCCCCCCCACAAAACTATCATACCTGTACATCTTGCGCATAGACCTGAAAGTGTTGGTATTCACAATCAAGGGGTTTGGTGGAATGCAGTGGGCCTTTCTTAAAAACTAACTCACAAGGAACACAGGACACCTTTTGTGTTGCATTCTGTCTGTATCTACTTAACATTTATTACTTTGTAAAAAATCAACATAGAACTATGGACACCAATAAACTGACTTGTAGTCTACTCAAACAATCATAAGATGATGGTGAGTGGGTACGGCTGACAGTATGGCTATTCTTCATAAGCCAAAAAAGATCAGATATTTTGTCAATACACTCGAGTTTGACCTGTTTACATTTGGAAAATCTCAACAATTTCCCGATTTCCAAATTGTTAATTTAGCAGTATGCGAACATGATTTAAAGTACCGGTATACGACTTCTTATTCGTTGCGTTCCCCTGCTAGATCTCATGGGTAGTCGACTGCTGATTCTTCTACCTGCAGTGTAACTGATTTTTATAGTATATGACCGGAAGTTGAGATAAAAGCAAATGGCGGAACATGTCTAGAGAAGTGGAAAGGAGGTGAAAGGAGAACACTTCAGAGAAAAAATATTTCGAACCTGGGACCTATTGAATATGAGGCGAACGCCATACCTCTAGTTCACGAGAGCCCCCGTCACTTAATTTTTTTGGGTCTCTTATATCAGCCGTTTTATCCAAACACGAGATGTTTACATGGTTTTGGGCTTCACATTTATTTAAATGTGCCCCCCCAAAAAACCCCCAAACAAAAACACACAAATAACCCCCCATGTTGAAACTGCAGTGAAATGCTTCCAGAATGTTTGAACGATGTTAGCAATAAAATAGCCTTGTAAATTTGATGTTAAAAAATTAATATTTTTGCATTTCCTACGTCTGGGAAAGAATATATCATGTTTTTTTCGCGTGCACTCTTGCGTTAATGTACAATTCATGATATCTTTGGAAAATCAGGAATATTTACAGCATATTTTGAACGTCGTTTGTTAAAACATTAATGTGTGAGCTTGAATCTAACGTTTTAGGCAGATCAGCTTTTCTTCACAAACTAAATTCTGAAGCTGTTTTGAATATATCAGATTCCATCAAGGTCATCTACTAACACTGCAACATTTTTATCTAACTTCCCAAAAATTAGCCCAAGGACTTTTAACCTACACTCCCCACCCCCACAAAACAAATTAAAAAAGTAAAACAACAAGCAAACAAGCAAAAAACAAACAAACTCCAAACAAGATAAAACCAAAAACAAAAGAGAAAAAAAGAAGAAAAGAACTTCTATAATAGAACAAAAAACAAAACCAAAAAAGACAACCAAACAAAAACCTACCCCTCCAAAAATAAAACCAAAACAACAACAACAACAACAACAACAATAACAACAATAACAGACCCAACTAACAAACAAAACAGGTAAATCTCAGATAGACCCAACCTAAACCATTTGAAAAAATGTTCTTTGAGTTTTATAGCAATTATAAAAATGAGCGTACACAGAAAATTGTTTTTTTTAATCCCATTCTTGCATCTCTCTCTGTCTTTCTCTGTCTCTCTCTGTCTCTCTCTCTGTCTCTGTCTCTCTCGCTCTGTCTCTGCCTCTCTCTCTATCTGTCTGTCTGTCTCTCTCGCTCTCTCTCTCTCTGTCTCTCTCTCTCTTTCTCTCTGTCTGTCTCTCTGTCTCTGTTTCTCTGTCTGTATGACTCTCTCTCTCTCT